CAAAGGACATATAAAGAGCCTTCTAGACAAGAAAAAGCTAAAGGTATTCATCACCACCAAACCAGTATTACAGAAATGTTAAAGGGACTTCTTTAGGACTAGGAAGAAAAAAGACAAAAAAAAATGAATTAAATGGCAATAAATACATACCTGTCAATAATTACTTTAAATGTAAATGGATTAAATGCTCTAATCAAAAGAGATAGGGTGGCTGAGTGGGGAAGAAAACAAGACAAACATATATATGTGTGTGCTGCCTACGAGTGATTCACAGTCGTAGACACACAGACTAAAAGTAAAAAGGCAGACAGATTGGAAGTTACAAAATAGTCATGGGGATGTAAATTACAGCACAAGGAATAGAATCAATAACATTATGATAACTATGTATGGTGCCATATGGATACCAAAAATATTGGGCAGAACACTTTATGAAATATATAATTGTCTAACTACTATGCTATACAACTGAAACCAATACAAAACAATACTGAAAGTAAACTGTAATTGAAAAAGTAAATAAATAAAATAAAGGGATAAAAAGATTTTTAATGCAAATGGAAATGAAAAAAAGCTGGGGTAGCAATACTTATATTAGACAAAATAGACTTTAAAACAAAGGCTATAACAAAAGACAAAGAAAGACATTTTATATACAATAGCCAAGGTAGGGAAGCATATTAAGTGTCCATCAATAGATGATTGGATAAAGAAGATGTGGTAATATATGCGATGGAATATTACTCAGTCATAAAAAGGATGAAATCTTACCATTTGCAACAACATGGATAAACCTAGAGGATATTATGTTAAATGAAATGAGTCAGACACAGAAAGATCTATGATTTCACTTATATGTGGAACTTGAAAAATAAGAAGTGCAAATTGGCAGTTACAAAATAGTCACAAAGATATAAAGTACAGCATAGGAAATTAGTCAATAATATTGTAATAATCATGTATGATATCAGAGGGGTGCTAGACTTACCAGGGGGATCACTCTGTAAGTGATATAAATGCCTAACCACTATACTGTATACCTGAAACTTATATAATATTGAATATCCACTTAACTGAAAAATAAAAAACAAAAATAATGTATAATTGAAAATTTTAAAAAATTCTTTAAGTCATAAAATGCTGAATATAAGAGCTCAGAGAAGTAATGTGAAGCCGGAAAAGATTCTTTAGCATCTTGATCTTCCCTTTAGAAGATCTTCCACTTATTCACAGCCCTTCATTTTCTTCTTCAGCACCCTCCCCCTTCCCACTCCAGATTCACCTTACCCTCTCTTTCTCCCCCAGCTTCCCAAGATGGCAGTCTCTCTCTTCCTCTAAGCTATAGTTCTACAGAGGCACAGCCAGGAGACCAAAACTGAGCCCCAGATAAGAAAACAGACTTGCCCAAGACCACACAGCAAAAAGCCTGGATATGAACTCACATCTGAGGCTGAAGTCCAAGCATGAGGGAAATAAGGAACATGCCACAGTTTCCACCTCCTCCATCATTTTGTCCCAAGTTTGGCCAGGCAGTTTAATAGTGAGAAAAGAACCCACACTGCCCAGCCAGCTAAACACAAACTAGATGGACCTGTCATGAATCTGGGTGAACCTTGTGGCCTCAGAACACCCAGAGATGCAGCCAGGGCCTTGGTTGCCCCTGAGGAGTTCAGGGTGGTACCTGGGCTGAAATGAAAGGATGTAAAGGGACAAAACCAAGTTTACGCAGAAAGAGGATGGGTGGGCCCAGCTTGGTTAGAGGTTTTTCACACAGAAAGACCTATGACTGTTAAAAGATACTCAGAAAAGAAGGTAAGTAAATGTTAGCACAAATATCTTATCTAGTGTTTAGCACATAGTAGATACACACATAATTAATGTTTGTTAAACTGCAATATAAGCCAGCAAGGTGATAGAGCTACAAAGCAAAGCTAACAGAGCCTTAGGTCATAGTAATAGAAGCACAGAGTCGACAGTGAAGAAGGTGACCCACATCTCACCATCCCCATCCTGAGTTCAATCCTGGGTCCTGCATAGAATAGGATATGGACAAACAGAGAGAATCCAGAGGATATGGGGGTACAGAGACCACACCCAACTGAAGTGGCTGGTGGAGCAGGGTACTCAGCCTAGGGGTGAGCACTGCACGGACAGAGCTAGTCATTATCCCCAAGTCTCTGCAGGACTCCTTCAGGACAGGGAAACAGGTGAGGCTATGAGCCCAGAGGGAGGGGTGAGGACCTTGGGGAGCCACCAGGACAGGTGCCAGTTCACTACACAAAAAAAAATTTCTTAAAATGACATCTATTTGGGGGTGGTCATGAGCACCTACCATGAGAGGTGGCAAGCTGAGGAATGGCTGGGATTGGCTTAAATGATCTTAGCTCAGAACCTATTAATCTCTCAAATGAGAATCTCCAAAGTACAGGAGGAAAATATTAGTTCATCTATTTCTACTCACCTTTTAACTTAAAATAGTTAATAGTATACAGCTGAATTCTGATGTGCCCCTTGGCCATAAATCCCCAGGGGCCAGTGGGGTTCCAAGAGGCCAGTGGTAAGCTCAACAATACAGAGGGGTCTGCTGTGGTCACATTCTCCATTTTCTGTGTTCAGCCCATTTTGACACATTGTGGTCTACTTGTGCTGGGTTGGGTATGTTCAAGGATCAAACAATACAGCTTTAACTGAATCAGCCCCCATAATGTGGACGAGAGGCTTCAAAGAGTCCCTGCAAAGGAACCTCGAATGGAGATAACTCTAATCTAAAAAGTACAAGCAAGCAGCAGGAAATGTGGGAGACAGGCCCACCCTCACCCCTAGTTCAAAACCTTCATCAGCCACGTTACCAGACAAAAGCTACAATGAATGGGATCTATCTTGCACACAATTGCTTACTGAAATAATTAATAATTAATAATTAATAATAATAATAATAATGAAAAGGGAACTTCCATTCTCTATCATCAGTGAGGAAATTCACTCCGAGTGCATGTTGGGCCTTGAGTCATTAGCTAATGATCCACAGTACTTATATATAATTTCTATATCTATAAATATGTATATGTTGGGGACACCTAAAGCATTTTTTTGGAAAAGAGTGTGCAATCAAAAAGTGTGACCCAGCTAGACACTGGGAGATGCCAGTCCCTGTTTGGGTTTTGGGGTCTGATCAGATTTATTTCAGATTTAGGGACCAAGAAAACTAGGTGGCAGTGTGCCATCCAATAAACTTTTCTGAGGCCCCCTAAATGTTTGAAAATTAATAGGAAGAAATCAAAAAGTCTTAAAAGGTTGTCCCTGATGCTAACTCCCCAAGATGTCCAGTCCAGTCCAAGTCTCCTGTTTTTCATTCTCTCATCTAAGCTTTTCTGTCTTTTTGTCTCCCCTTTCTTTCTCCTCTCTCTCTCACACACACCCATACATGTGAGCACTCAGTTGGCAACAACAGAAACCAGAAAGGAGGTAGGTACTCAGTGCATAGAAAGAGCTTGCTGGCTCTTGAATGTCTGACAGACTTGGATTCACTGCCTACTTCCACCCATCACAGATGCGAAGTCCTCAGAAAGCCATATCCATTCTCGGAGCTCAGAATCCTCTGGAAAAATGGACATGACTGCAACCCAACAATGAAAAGACAACCCAATTTTAAAAGAGTCAAAGGATTTTAACAGACATCTCTTCGAGGAAGATAGACAAATGCTCAATAGCACATTGACAGATGCCCGACATCATTAGTCACTAGGGAAACGCAAATCAAAACCACAGTAAGATACCAGCCACTTCACACCTAGTAGGATGGGTGATACAAGAAATAAAAGTGTTGCAATGATGTGGAAATTTGGAGCCTTCGTACATAGTTGATGGGATTGTAAAATAGTACAGAGGCTTTGGGGAAAAATGTGACAGTTTCTCAAAATGTTAAACATAGATTGATCATATCACCAAGCAACTCCACTCCTAGATGTATAACCAAGAGAAGTAAAAACTTATGTTCACACAAAGACTTGTATGTGAATGTTCACAGAAGCAGTATTCTTAATAGCCAAGAGGTAGAAACAACCCAAATGTCCATCACCTGATGAGCGAATAAACAAAATGTGACATAATTATACAATACAATATTATTCAGCCATAAAGAGGAAGAAGTGCTGACACATGTTTCAACATGTATAAACCTTGAAAAAATTATGCTTAGTCAGAAAGGATCATCTATGGTATGATTCCATTTATAAGAAATGTCTGGAAAAAGCACATTCACAGAGACAAGGAGTAGATTAGTGCTTGACAGTGGGAAGGGGAAATGAGGAGTGTCTGCCAAAAAGTATGGGGTTATTTTGGGGGTAAGGTGGTGCTGGGACTGGGGTGGGTGGGGGCTCCGCTCTAGGCCATGTCACCTGTGTGAGCCTCTGACAGGCAGTGGGGCCCCCTTTCCCTGGGCCCAGATCTCCCTGTTCAGCACTTTTGCCCCAAAGGTGTCTTTCAGCCTGAACAGGGGAGACAACTGGCCTCGTCCTTCCACATCTGACAGACCTGGCCCAGGGCCCAGGGTGGCTTCCAACAGGAGGACAGGAGGGTGACTGCCTCTACTTGCTGGGAGATTTGAGGGGACACACCCTCACCCTCCAAAGCTGTTTGGTCCCACAGGGCAGAGTGGGAGAAGCCTTCAGATATCTAGTCAGACTTTTCATCTCAAAAATGGGGAAACTGAGACTCAGAGAGGCCAAGGGGTTTTCTGAAGGTCAGGTCCCATTGCGAATTAGTGACAGAATCAGGAGTTGGGTACCTACTCTGCCTGCCTGAAGCCTCAAAACAACCAAGTGGGGTAAATATTGTCACCCTCCCCCAATTTTCTAAGAGATGGGAGTCTGAGGTGCTCACCCAGATGGGAAGACACTGAGCTGGAATTCAAATCCAGGTCCATCTAGGAACCACAAAACATCAGGCTATTGAAGGACCGACTGAGGTTTAACCCTTCACCCTGCCCCATGTCCCATTACCTGTGGTCCCGAGGCTTGTCAGGTACAAGGCGAGCTGTGTGTGGACTGTGCTGATGCCAGGCTGGGCTGGGGAAGAGGATGGCAGGAGAGGCCTCGCCACACCCCTGTGACGGGGAGAGGGCAGGGCGTGACGTGTCCCTGGGCTCACCCGAGTGCATTCCTTCCTGCCAGTGCTATCAGCCCCAGGCCTTCCTGTCTGACTCGACTCTTCCCTATGAAACCCCAGGAGCAGCCAATGGGGCAACCATACCCCCAAGAACCACCCCCTGGGCCATAGCCATGCCATCTCTCTCCAGGGGCAAGTGATGTGGGGGACAGCTGCATCACTCTTGGCTGTGCTAAGCTCTGGGCAGGGAGGAGGTGGGGCATCTCCAAAGTTCCCCTTCAACCTGAATTGTGAGGCTGACTCAGAGCCCAGCCATGTGGGCTAACCCGATGCTACTGGGAAGGATGAGGCTGGGCAGACAGCAGCTGGAGGTAGGCGGGCTCAAGGGGCTAGAGACTTCTGTGAGTAGACTGGCAGTGCCCTCTTCTGGTAAAGAGATTGGTGCAGATGGGAAAACACAAGTCCTGAGGGGCCGATGGGAACCAAACTCTCACTGCTAAGGCCAGAGTGACCCCAGCTCAGCCTGCCTCTGCCTCTCATTCACTTATCAAACACTCTGAAAACAGGACAATAAACAAGTCTACACTGCCCCAGTGAGCACCCAAGCCAGAGGGACAAAGGCCAAGACAGGCCCCATAACAGCAAGGCCCTAGGAGCTATGGTTCCCAGGAGGGCTTCTTGGAAGAGGAGTCATCAATTCTAAGCTCAGGCCAAAATCTTGGAATCATCCTTTTCTCTTTGTTCTCTCATACTCTGTGTCTAACCTATCTGAAAAGCATTGTTGGGCTCTGGCTGGCATGACTCAGTTGCTTGAGCGCCAGCCTGCGAACCAAGGAGTCACAGGTTCAATTCTTGGTCAGGGCACATGCTTGGGTTACAGGCCAGGTCGAGAGACAACCACACACTGATGTTTCTCTCCCTCTCTTTCTCCTTCCCTTCCCTTTTCTCTAAAAATAAATAAATAAAATCTTTTTTTTTTAAATAATGCATAGTTGGACTCACTGTTGACATATCCTGAATTTGGCCCCTTTTCTACATGGCAACCACCCTGGTCCAGACAATACAATTGCTAGTCTCCCTGCTCCTGCTCTCAGCCCACTATCTGTTGTCATCACGGCAACCAAAGGGATCCAGTTAAAACCCATCTCAGCTCACATCGTACCTGCTCCACTCAGCACCCTCCTGTGGCTACCAGCTCATTCAGGATAAAACTCAAGTTCTTATACAGCCCTACACAATCTACCACCCACCTCTTGCTCTCTCTGACTTTAATTCCTATGACTTCCTCTCTCACTCTGCCCCAGCCACACTGGAATGTGCCCCAAACACTCCAGATAGGCTCCCTCCTCAGGGCCTTTGCCCTGGTTGTTCCTTCTACTTAGCATGCTTTCCCCCAGACAGCTACCTGGCTCCCTTCCTCATTTCTTCAGGTCTCAACTCAGATGTCACCCTCTCCATGCTGCCTTCCCTGGCCACTCTGAATGAAGCAGTAACCTACAGCACCACCTTTCCCTCTCAGCCTGCTTTGTTGTTCGCCATCTGATGTACCATATATTTCCTTGTTATGCATATTCCTTGTTATGTATTTGTTTGCTTCAGGATCCAGGACAGTGTCTGACACATAGCAGGTGCTCCATTAATTTTGTTGAATAAATAAATGACCTGAAAGTGTAGCCCAGGAAGCATTCCGAAGGCATTTTAGGCAGAGGAAACCACATGAACAACCATAAAGGCTGAGAGGTAAGGGGCACTGCTCATTTCATGAAGGTGGTACCCAAAGTGAAGCAGGAACCCCCGCCTCCACCAAAGCCGAAGCCAAGCAAAGGTTTTGAAGGCAAAGAAAGCAACACTGAAAGGCATCCACAGCCACACAAAAAAAGAAGATCCACAAGTCACCCACATTCCAATGACTATAGACACTGTGGCTCCAAAGGCAGCCCTAAATATCCTTGGAAGAGCAGCCCCAGGAGAAGCTTGACCACTTTGCCATCACCAAGTTCCCCTGACCATCGAGTCAGCCATGAAGAAGATAGAAGACAACAATACACTTGTGTTCACTGGATGTCAAGGCCAGCAAGCACCAGATCAAACAGGCTGTGAGGAAGCTGTATGACATTGATATGGCCAAGGTCAACACCCTGTTCAAATGTGATGGAGAGGAAGGCGTATGTTTGACTGACTCCTGACTATGATGCTTTGGACGTTGCCAGAAAAATTGTGATCATCTCAACTGAGTCCAGCTGGCTAATTCTAAATATAAAAAGTTACACTGTAAACAACAAAAAAAGTGGCACCGCTGTGTTGAGAACCTGCAAACAACTCAGTACAGTGGGAGAATAGGGGCCTGGGGAGCTGAAGGAAGGGAGAAGGAAAGCGAGAGAGGTGCGGCCTCAGAAGCCAGGCCAAGAAGGCTGGACATTGCCCTTAGAGTGATGGGGAGCCATGCAGGAGAGACACGTTCAGATTAAGTTTTAGACAATAATTTGGCTGCCATATTGAGGATTGGTGGGGAAGCTGTGAACGGCAGGCATCTGGTGAGCACAAGCCATTGCAGGGGAGATAAGGACAGGGTCAAGGTCATTGCATTGTCCACAACAGTAGCCACCAGCCACATGTGGTTATAGAGCCTTTGAAATGTGTCTGGTCAGAATTGAGATGTGCTGTAAGTTTCAAATACACACTGGATTTCCAAAATGTGGTATGAATATAAAATATATACAATACCTTATTAAGAATGTTTGTATTGATTATCTGTTAAAAAGATAATATCTTGGGTGGGAGGGGGGACTGGATTGGGAGTAAAAAGGAGAAAACTGTATTTAAACAATGATTAAAATAAAAAAATAAAAAATAAAAAATAAATAAAATAAAATAAAATAAAATAATAAATAAAACACACACACACACACACAAAAAGATAATATCTTGGATATATTGATAAATAAAATATATTATTAACATTAGTTTTATTCCCTTCTTTTTGTTATTTTTATTTTTAAAGATTTTATTTATTTTTTTGAGTGAGGGAAAGGGAGGGAGAAAGAGAGGGAGAGAAAGATCAATAGGCTGTCTCTCCATGCTCCCAACAGGGGCCCTGGCCTGCAAACCAAGCATGTGCTTTTGTTACAGGGTGCAGCCAAGAGGGGGGACCCCAAGTGGGCATTTGAAATGGGGTCCAGAACTTAAGGTGTCCAGGAGATTTTAAGATGTCTCCATCCCCCCCCACCCAGGGTGTGGGTTGGGGGAAGGGACAAATGGAGCAAGGCCATTGAGAGCTGTTTTGCATAGCAACAGCCTTGCAGCTACCCTCTGGCATGGTCATTTAACATATCTATAGCCTTTGGCTGGTCGCTTAGATATGTTACATAGCTGTGATCATCTCTGAGTGGGTGGGGGGGGAATGGAAGTAACTTCCCCACCAAGACGTGACTGGGGGCAGATCCCCCAAGCTACAGCGCCTGCGTGGGAGCTGGGAGAAGATTGGCTCCAGGACATGGGGCCACACCTGCCCAGACTCATGATGGCAGCCCAGTAAACCTGGAAGGATATGAATTCTGGCAAGTGAAGCCGAGTGTGGGAGGAGTCGGAAATGAGGCTACAGAGGAAGATTGGCCGCCGGGATTTAAAAACGGAGACTCCCGCATCCCAGAGAAAGAGAACCACGCAGCTTTAGCAGAATAGGGAGGACCTCAGCCATTGAGAGAGAACCATGCGGCTTTAGCAGAATAGGGAGGACTTCAGCCATTGAGGGAGAACCATGCTGCTTTAGGAGGGAGAGCCATGCGCAGCCCTAAGAGAGAGAACCACGCGGCCTGGACAGAGTGGGGACTCTCCCCTTCCCGCAGCCCTGAGAGGGAGAACCATGCTGCTTTAGGAAGGAGAGCCATGCGCAGCCCTGAGAAGGAGAGAACCATGCGGCTTTAGCAGAATGGGGAGGACCTCAGCCATTGAGGGAGAACCATGCTGCTTTAGGAGAGAGAACCACGCGGCCTTGACAGAGTGGAGACTCCCGCAGCTTTAGAAGGGGAACCACCACCTGGTTTTAGCAGAGATCCCAGCGACTCAGCTGAGGGTGACGGGAACCCAGGGAGGTCTCCCAGTTGAGATGGAGTATTAACTGGGAAGAACCAGAGGACTGCCTGAGCCATGGACGTCTATTTCCTTTCCTGAGATACGGTACTCTGGACTGGGCAAAGGGGGAAGGAAGGAAGGACTGTGTCTGTTTGTGGGTGCTTTAAGGGACTTTAGGATTTTTGATGAAGACACTAGGTCACTACTTGAAGTCTGTATAGCATTAAATAAACATTTCCTTTCCTTTTCACGAATCTCTGGCATTGAGAGACGTCTTTCCTAGGGCGGCGGACATAACAGACCCGGGGCCTTCTTTCAATAATAGTATATTGTCCCAGGCCCCCCTTGGTCTGTTCTGTAACACTTTGACCTGTTGGGAACTGTCCTAGCTGGTTTCAGAAGCTGTAACCACCCCCCATGGCTAAGGCTGAGTAAGAGACCTTGGGACAATAAGCCACTAAGGAGACAAAGCTTATCTTCCTGCTAGGGGCACCAGCCTCTGCCCCATTTTACTTCAGCCTGCTTGGCGCCAGACGGATGACTGGTTAGCTAAAGACAGATAAGATTCCTAAAGGGAGGGATGATCTAAGACAGGCATGGTCACGAAGTGGCCCTCAGGGAAGGACTTGGGGGGGCTATATAAAAAGAGGGTGATGGACCCTCACCCCTCAGCTTTGACATAGCCTGAGTCCTCACTGTCTGCAAGAGGTCTCCTAATCTCTTGACTGCCTTACCTTCCCCTCTTGACTTAAGCCTGAATCAATGCCGAAGGGCAGTGCAGCCCTGGGCAGGAACAGGCGGTTGGTTCCCTGGGGCAATCAGCCCTAAGAAAGAATGCGTAAAATCCTGTGAAACCTGCTTTGCTAAGAGTGTCTTCAATGTTCTGATAAGGGTCCAGGCATGAAATAAGTTTATTTCCCAAAGTTTTATAGCCTTTTAGCTAACTGACCCTGACTCAGAATAAACCCTCATAGTTCTTTGTATGTTATCTATTGTTTGATCATTACTGCCTGACAATGACTGATGAGCTTTACCTGTATTCCTGTGCAAATTG